AAAAAAAGGTGGACACCTGAGTCGTTCTTCCAGCTGTGAACGTGGATAATTTACAGGAAGAAGCAATTACAGAAGATTTGAGAGATAAAAAGACAAACGATTCATGCATAATGCAGAGCAGCAGATTTCACTGAAACCATTTAGTGTCTTTTCAGCTCGAATCAAAGCTTCAAGTCCTGAATTCTGATGAGCGCACCAGGCGGCCGCGATCTGGAAAATGAACAATTAAGAAGCGCGTTGCTAATTAAGCGCAGAGATCAAGCGCCTTTCTCTCCCCGCCCTCGAGGAGCTTCTTCCACCGAGCCCACTTTGATCAAAGCGAGGCCCCGAGCGGCGATCGAGCCCCGCGACGGCGCGTTTCCCCCGCTGGCTAAACGCGGATTAGCACCCAGAAGAGAGAGGAGCAAAAACCGACAGAGGCAGAAAACACAACAAATATTTCCTGCTGAAGGATCCATGAAAGCTGCGGCTTGTTGAATCATCATGAGTGAAAACAAAGAGGCCCGCTGCTCTCTGCAACTCTGCTCTCCAAATGCAAATGGAGCAGCTGTAAAAGTTTGATTCGCGCATGTTTAATGTTCCTCATTCCTTTTCTTCTGCTCTTGTTCTTGGGGAACATGCAAAGTTTATCAGCAGGGCCTGCGTCCCGGCTTTCATGTCGGGCCTCAGCACGTCGACTGCGCCGCTGACAGAGATTGAGGAGTCAGGTAGGAGCAGAGTTCGCCTGCAGGGCCGCGTGACGCCCGTGTCTGCTAATCGACGCTGACGTGCTCCTGATGGCAGCCCTTCATTAGAAGCTCCTTTAAAGGAGCTCCGACCTTCTGCGGGACCCGGCACCCGCCTGTGTTGGCCTTTGATTCCCGCGCCTCCGCCGCTTTCAGCTCGTCATAATGACAGCGCCGCTGACAGCTCCTCGTCACGCGCCTCTTGTCGTCTTTTGTGGGAAGTTTTGCAACAATTAGCATAAATATTTGATCTCCTTCCGCCCTGATGCTGCCGCTGCTGAAATGGGATCCGGCTGAAAGGCTGCCGGAAAACAGCAAACCTTTGTAAAGTGTACTTTTCTCCCCGTTAACATACAAAGATGAAGCGAGGGAGGCAAACAGCCAAACATATGTACCCTTTGTGGAATCTTTTATTGAACATATTTGGGAGCAAAGAGAGCAGAGTTTGATTACGAGGCAAATGCAAATCTCCCCACACTTGTACGCGTTATGTATTTCACACCAACTTATTTACATTCTAGATGGAAAGCAATCGGCTGCAAGTTTACCGAGGGAATCGCGGCTCCCCTGCCGACAGAGAGTCAAGAAACTTTCAGGTAAGTAGTGCAGAAAACTCACAGAGCAACTTTCCCGTCAGTTGTTGGCGAAGGCAGGAACGTGATAAGGCCACATTATGTTGTGCCAATTAATTTCTGTGTCTGCGAGCGCCCGCAGCCACCAGCAGCAAAATTAAATATATACTCACATGTGATTTCAAAGGGGGTGGAAACCCGGTGCCCACTGTGGAAGACTTTACTTAAGCTGGAGGAAGAGCATCATTAAAATTAAAGGCAGGCACAGAATTTTACCAGTCGCCGCCGCCGGCTACCGCTCAGCACTTCAAAACAAACCGCGCGGCCCGCCGACTCCAGTCAAACGCTCCTCGTTCACTATTTGATGCCGTCTGTTGGATCGGAGCTGATTATCTCCCCAGTGAAACATTCACCGAAAGAAAACGAGAAGAAAAAAGGCGAAAACTCGAGAGAAACACGCAGCCTGAGATACGACCGGAGGCCCCGATTTGTTTGGACTAATCCAGTTTATCGAGGCTCATCGTGTGACCCAGAGAAATCCCACCAGTGCAGAAACCAGGACGTCAAATCCCGCCACGAGGCAGGAGCAATACTCCAGAATCACAGACTGGATATAAAAGATGGCTGTAGCCTGTAGGAATTGGCATTTTAACCAAATACACAGAGTGATATACACCGTGAGCGGTTCTGTGTATTTTTAACAATTACCTAACTCAGCGGTCTCCAACCTTTTTTGCGCCATGGACCAGTTTATGCCCGACAATATTTTCACGGACCAGCCTTTAAGGTGTTGCAGATAAATACAACAAAATAAAACTAGTACCAGTACCGAAAAAAAGAAGATTTATTCATAACAGACGTGAAAAGACCCAGGAAAACAGAGTTAACGATGAAAACGATAACAAAATAACGCTGAAAACCGATTAAAAATCATACATTTCACACCTGAGCCTCAACTCTCGCGGCCCGGTAACAAACGACTCACGGACCGGTACCGGTCCGAGGCCCGGGGGTTGGGGACCGCTGACCTAACTCATTATTAGCAGGGCTTCGTTAGCAGCTACAGCCACCTGTCAGTCACAGGCCACGCCCCTAATAATCCCTAAAACGATATGCCTTAAAACAGTTTAGACTGGTGTGTTATTAACTGCCCCCTACACGTAAACATATTCATGATATAAGGTTATAACATGAGTCTATGGGGTCTGACTCACTGCTGGAGCCTCTGCTGGACATTAGAGGAACTGCAGCTTTTGGCACTCGAGCTTGCTGCTACCACACAGATCAAACTCTTGTGAAGCCCTGCCATGCATAACAGTGTGAATGGTCGATATGATTCCAGCTTTGGCTGTTGATTGGTTCTTTGGGGAAAGTGGTGGAACAACAACCGCCTTCACAGAGTCATCGTTCGATTTCATCTCAGGACTCTTAGAGTGGCACGATGGAGGCTGGTGATCAGTAACAACAAACCAAAAAATATACTGTAAGACAAGAAAGAGTTTTACAAACTATTTTGATCTAACAAATAGATTATTTATATTTCTAAATCATGACCAGTAGTCACTGTGACATCAACCAACGGTTTGAGACATCCTGCTTTAAAAACCCAGCACGAGCATTTTTCCATCTTGGCCTTTTGATGTGATGAGTGATTACTGGTGACTACAACCAGAGACAGCGCCCCCGCTGGACATTAAAAGAATGCAGGTTTACGACACTTACATTGGAAATCACACAGTAACTTCAGCACTGCTGACTGTTTCTGGTCTTTAATGTTTCATTATTAAAACCTTTGAACACAAGCGTTGGTAACGATCAGTCCCGAGGGCCTCCCTGTGTCCGTGGGCCTTCTTCTTCATGGATTATGAAACATGGTGTCGCTATCTGACAAATGCAGAATGTAAAGTCAAACAAAGGCATCATCGTCACAGCGTGATGGTCGACGGGAGTGTCACCATGCGGCTACTTTAAAGAAGAAACAGGTAATGATGTGATTCAGAGCTGAGCTTTGATCCGACTCTGTTGGCAGTTTTCACCTCCTCTATCATCACGGTTCTCACTTTTCTTTTGTATATACTTTGTATGTCCAGCCCATCTCCACAGAAGATGGCGATCCTCTCCCACGTGCTCGCTCTTCGTCTTCCGTCTGAGAAACAGCTTTTCACTCCAAGACCCTCATCGTCATCTGTCACCGAACTTCCTAACAAAGCCGTCATGTAAATGGACTCAGTCAGCTGTGTCCTCCATCTCTGATCCTCCTCTCCTATATATATATATCATCAGCATAATAACCCTCATCCACCCTCACCCGCCCCTGGGTGACCACAGGACTCCACCCACCTTCAGGCACTGGCAGCACCACTGGGATTTATTACCAAAGGCATGGAGGGGATCCAGCACAGGCTTCATTACAGGATGTCACTAACCCACGTCGACGACGTAAGATTCTGACATCTCGACCAGCTCTGCTTCTTTGATTTAAGATAAGTTTATTTGGTGTAGTGTTGAGGAAGAAGGTCAGAGGACTCGCAGCAGCTCATCCATGATTTCTTTCCAAATTTAAATTTCACGGTACAAAGAAAAAAACACAGGGTATACTAAACTATTCTGTTAAAAAACATGTAAATAACGGAACTAACCACAGTGTTTACCAGACTTTATTTCGGGGTTTTTAGCTCTACAATCTTGATGGTTTATGAGACTCTCCTGGTCTCTTCGCCTGCTGGGACTCCATCTCGTCCCTGGCGCTCTTCAGGCTGAGCCAGGCCCCAATGAGTTATTATTACATCCTGAGAATATGCAAATTGAGGCAGAGCGACGGTGTGTATTTTTGATGGAAGAATACAAATCACTGCAGACATGACACTTTTTTAATTTTCCTGATGAATGTAAGTCTTCAGAAAGAGGAAGGATTGATGACGGGGCGTAATGAACTCTTTAGCACGTGGAAGCTCGCAGGCTTTTCATTACACCGTCCTGAGCGAAAACGCTCGGGATCCACGGATCTGGCCTGACCAGCTCACCGATGAACCTCGGGTCCAGGTCCTGGTCTGCACGGGGAGAAGAGTCTGTTTATAAACACACATGTGATCGTGTTTTTACGAGCTCCATCAGTGCGCGGGGAGAGAAAGGCGATGTATGTATCTTTGTGTCAACTGTTGCCTCTTCTTCCTTATCTCCCTCCCTCTCACTCTATCCCAGCATCCTCCTCTGTCACGCCAACCCTCTGCATGTCCTCCGTCACTACATCCATGAATCTTCTCAGAGGTCTTCTTCTTTTTCTCCTGGCTGGCAGCTCCATCTTCATCATCCTTTTTTTTTATCTACTCTCCCTCTCTGCACATGTCCAAACCATCTCAGCCTCCCCTCCATAACTTTGACTCCCACAGTCAGAAAAGCAAAGATTATAAACTGTATTTGAATCAGAGACTTTGCACCCATAATTGTACATCACCTAAATGAGAATAATATCTTGTATTTAAATGGGAATTTAATAACAATAAATATACTTTTACAGCTCATAAAAACACAGAAACAGACAAATAAATATTCTCTAAAGCATTTAAAACTTAAATACTGACAAATGAGACCCACGCAGCATTTTTCACATCCTGACATAACGGTCAGAATAATTAGTGAAGTTGAGAAAACTGTGTGAAAGGAGTGCGATATGAGTCGATGTGTCAGTGAAGTTTGCTGAGGATGTGCTGAACTGCTGGTAAGCTCTGCTGTTAGCCTCTGTTAGTAACTTTGTTGGACTCTGATGTAGGGGTGGGCGATATAAACGATATACGATAGAAACGATATAAATTTGGCCAACGATAGAGATTTTGACTATACCGCTCTATCGCGATAGCGCATGTTGATGATGTCATCAAGCTGCGC